ATTACTTTATAAATTTTCAAGCTTCTAGATTTAGTAATCTCTTCATCTAATAATCTACTTGTATGATATGCATCTGGATGTGATTTGTAGACTTGACCATTACAAAAAAACTAAAATTTGCCACTTTCAAGTGTGGTCAAAAATCCGGAATAAAAAACTGTTGGCTCTTTGGTCTTCCAGGCGGGACAGACACACTAATACCATCTTAGGCGGATTTGTCCCAAATCCCCCACAATGGCATTGTGTACTTTGAAGAATATTACCACTATGAAAATCATGATGAATGATTTCTTTTTCATGAATAGCTTTAAACCTCCAATAATTTTAAGAAGAATAGTAATTTTCTGTTTCCATTTTAAATTTTTAAAATCTTTAGTTAAATAATTTCATTGTCTAGAATTTATATTTTTAATATATAGTCAATATGTAAACTTGACAAGTTGGTTATGTGAAGGTGGCGACTTATCAAGTAAACCGCGTTATAGTTTTGAAAATTTATCAAAAAAAATTATTAATTATATCGAATTTTGTTTTGTTGCAAATATTTAAATTTTGAATGATATTTAGAACAATTGTATTATCTCATCATCATTAATCATTTCAACCGTTTCTATGCTATAATTATCTACTATTAATAAATAGTCAAAGCTTGTCAGTTCCATATGTAAATTTTTGTTTTTTCCCTATTGTAACAAGAGACAATTAATTATAAGGGTATTATAAAAAAAGTCCACTATAACGTGCATGTGCAATAAGCTTTTCATATCGTGGAAAAACTAATCAAAAATCGAAATTTATAAATAATATATCATGTGAAACTGACGATTTGTTTCTTGAACCTCACGTTTTGAGAATGTAGATCCTTGGATTGGGTGGATGATCAGCAAAAGAAGTGGATATCATATTGTCAAAATGTTTCAAACCTGTTCTTAAGTAAGTTATAAACTCGATAAGTCGGACTCATCAATCAATTGTAAATTATCAGGTAGGTCCTATGTAATCACTGGCAGAAATAAACAAACTTATTTTGTGCAACTTTATATTATAATCATGTGATATAATCAGTTTATCGTTTAAGAATATATTGAATTAAAGAAAAAAAAATTATTTACCTGATAACAAGAACGAATAAGCCAAAAATTGCATTTAAAATCATAGCAAAAATTTTAAAGATACTTTGTAACTAGAGATGTTAATCTGCTTCGGTCGAGCATAATTAAACTGAGTTTAAACACAAATTCTATTTTAAGATTACGTCATAATTTAATTTATTAGCAATGTTTGAAACACTTGTTCAAGAAAATTAACAGCAAATAATAAATATATTAATATTGCGTAATTTATATT